TTAGTTTTCTGCTTAGTGTAAGTTCATTTTCCAAAACGTTTCGGGAAGCCAAAAGAGTTTCTGGTCACAACACTGGTCATAATCCGTAAAAAAAATTTAATCCGTGATTTAAAATTCCATATTTTCTCCAGAAATGCACCATATTCATGAAAAAATCACCGAAAGATTACAGAGGGGCAAGATGGACTTTGCTTGTTGAAATCTTCATGAGTGTTTCTGGAATTAGGATTCAAAATAACGGATTATTATTTTTTTTTTTAGGTATTCGGAACAGGACCTCGGATTATTATAATTGAGGTAATAGTAACATCCGGTTTGATAAAGTTTTTAGCTGAAGTTACATGAAAATTTGGGTAAAGATTTTTAATAAGTAGTGCGACTATTTTGGGTACATCAGAAAATTTTTATTACAAGTCATACGAATTATGGGCAAAGTAAAAATTTTTAGAAAATAAATTGTAATTGATATAGAGGGTTATTTTTTTACAATTACTTCAAATAATGTTTTACTTTATCTTGGAAATAATAACATTACATTAGATTCAGATATGGGTTTATTAAGAATTAGTGAAGAACATCAACAACTATATTAATATGAGTTCTTTAGATAAAAATATTCAATGGTTACATATGAAGTTACATGTTTTACGTGAAGCTTTTAATTTTTTGACATGCTATATGCTAAAACGAATAAAAGAGAAAAATGTCGTATGCTTAAAAGGATAAAAAAACTTCTAATTTACGATGCTACTTCTATTATAATAATCCGAACTTTATCAAACCAAGTTTGGAACGATACAGATAATAATTTAATAATTCCAAAAAATTTATTTTTATTTTAATTACTTTTTGTTATCATTGCTGATAATAATGCTAAATTTAGATTTTTGCTGCGCATACTACCTACAATCATTGAGTAACTGTACTCTTTTGTACAAAAATAGAAATTTTTTTTAAAAAAATCATACACCAACATACAGTGCACAGCGCCCCACCAATCAAATGCTGATATGCAGATCATACAGTACAGGAATGCAGTACTGAATGTCTACTGACTGCAATAACTACTAATCGGGAAAATTTTTTTGACGCGTTTTTATTACCAGTTAGTAGAGATTCCGTACACTATTTTTTTTTTTGTTCCGTACACTTTTTTTTTAATATTAATATTAAATTTTTGTACGGAATTTGTGAATTCTGAAAAGTTGATTGGTGGGGGGCCAGTCTGTACGATCTTGATTCCATATTTTGTTTCATACAGAGCATGATTTACTACAGAAGCGCAGATGTACGGAGTACGGAAACTGTATAGACTCTTTTATTACAAATGTCAAATCAAGTTTTTGTATAAGTATATATATATTATACATATCGTTGAGACTTTCCTTAGACGTATATATATTTTTAGTTCAATAAATATAATATTCTTTAGTATTGGTATTTGTTGTTTCGCAATCGCATTTATAATTAAATAAAAATTTTTAGTTATTGGAATTATAGTTAGAATTGTTTATCAATCGAATGTTTAAGGCTTTAACTATATTTTTATAGACATTTATTTACTAATAGATATTTCTAAAGTTAAAAAATTTATATATGCTATTTACTTTCTTGCATTATGATATTTCTCTATGTTATATACACTATGCGAAAAAAAAATATATCTCTAAGTAAAAGAAAAAGAAAAAGATTTGGCAGCCCAACAACAATGATTCGTGTTGTTAGATTGCCCAACACGAGAAAGTTAAGGCAGTTTCTAAATTTATGGAAGTTACTAAAGCTCCTCACAAGCTGGCTTGCGAGCCTACTAAGTTATTTGGCTTGCGAGCTGGCTCATGTGGAGCCTTAGAAGTTACGAAAATAACTGTGGAAGAAGTTTTTTTTTAAGGCAAAAAAAAAAAATACAATAGTTATATCATTCGCTTTATTGGAATTTCGTGATAATAGATACATGTAATAGATACAATAATGTTAAAGGCTCTCCCATAAAATGAAACGGTATACTAAATCAATTAAAATAACCTCGACAAAAACTGTAGAAATTAATATTCCCGATCCTGGAATGTAAATCAAAGTAGACTTTTAAAGATTGTTACAATATTTTTTTGAAGTCTAAAAATAAATTGCTTTGCATGTTTAAAAAAAATAATATCTCTTCAGATATGCGTTTGGACAAAAATTTATAAAATCATTGTTATTAATACTTACTATATATTTATGACTTTCAATAGATATTTAACCCTCAACTAATTAGAACTGAAGGCGGAATTATTATAATTATAGGACTGCCGCGTGATTAGTTGTTTTCTTATGCAATAATTAAGTCTTTAGAAAAGTCCTACCGAAGGTAGGTCAATGGATAAATTCAAATTCAAATTATGTTGGTTATATTTCATCAAAGCATCAATTGTTCAGTCTAATTCAAGATAAATTAATCGAAGATCCAGCATTGGTTTAAAATCAAATAGGGTAAATTAAAATTTGGAAGGTATAATATTCCCTTTATTAGATTCTATGAAATTTCCGTTGAGGATTTTCTGATAATGATGTCAAACCATATATATAATGGCATTTGACGAAATATATTTTCGAACAATAAACAATAGATCAATAATAATAATAATAAATAATAATAGCGTCAAAATTTCTCATTACATTATTATTATCATTTTCTTATTATTGTAAAAAAAATTTTTTAATGTAAATTTAGAATATTACAGCATGACGACCTTATTTTTTTTTCAAGGCATATTCTAATTCTCTAAAAGAAAATGCATTCAAAACCTTGAGAACAGGTTTTTGCAAACTAGTACTCCAATGAAGTTCCAAAATCGTTGATCAATCAGAAATTAAGACGTTGTCACACACTGAAACAATAACAACAATTATACTAATTAATTAATTAATAAAAATCGAAACAATACCTTCAGTTTACTTGTTGTTAGACATAAAAGTTCTCATGAAATAGAGAACATCCCTTTTATTCTTTAATAATAATTATCATAGGTTACATCTTCTTGATCAATTCTTGTTTAATATATATATATTAATAGGTTAAATAAGTAATTTATAAGTCTTTATTTATTGGTCAAAAATAAAGGCTTGCTTTACAATATCTTCCGAGAATATAATCCTTTTTGAAATATTAAAACCAATTTTATAAGAAAAATTAATTATAAAATAGATTAAATAAATAAATTTGTCAAAATAAATAATTAAGCCAATTGCCCAATATAGTAGTAGATATATATTTACAAAACCTGCCAATTGGATTCTGGAATAAATTTTCTTTTTTTTTTAAATCATTAGGCTAATAATGAAGACAATTTGCAAAAATAATTACCACATCCTAATCGTTTTGGCACTGATAAATTATTTCCTAATTATTTATTGAAGTCGAAGGAATTGAAAACGCTCATCAATCTAAGTTTGTGTGCTTCATTAAAATTTTATTGTTTAATTGAATGGAATTATTTCATTGTTATTATTATTAAATCCGTCACTAAATTCTTCAACTTCAGAATCTATAAAATTTTCTTCTTGATTTCTGATTTGTAATTGAAGTTTTAGTTTGTCTATTTTATTATCTTCTGCATGAAGTTTTCTAGTTTGCGGTATATGCAATAGGCTTATAATTATTCATCACATCTTGAGGGACTTTCACAAAATCATTTCAATTATAATCGAAATCTTATCTCACAAACTTATTTCGCTATCATTATCATTAATTATTTCGTTATCAATTTCATTACTTGATTCGTTATCATTGTCATTACCATCATCATCATAAAAACAACTTTTTAAAGGATTTTTTCTTACGGAAACATGATTTTTCTTTTTTATAAGCGGTAACATACCCGATGAATGAATGTAAACTTGTTGATGTTTGTCCTTTATTATAATCGCTGTTGTTACCTTATCTTTTGAATTGAATATTGTTATTATATCAAAATATAATTTTTTTTATTTCGAACGCCAATTTAAACGTGTAACAAATAGTACCATATCGTTTAAAATCAACGCCTAATCAAAGAATATCTCAAAAGATAAATATTGAGGTAGATTTAATGATAAATAATTTTTTGGGAATGAATTTTTTAATACAAACTAACACCTAACAAAAGTAAAAATTTATGATTCAATTAATTTTTTCTATTGTTACTTTTTTTAATACGATCCGGAGTTCTAAATAAATGAATTCTACAATAATGTTACTTTATACTTTATTTTTCATTGAGATTTTCAGGAGTAGATCCGGATAATTAATATCGGATTGGACTAGTGAAATCTCGGTTTAACGGAAAATTTTCCAAAAATTTGTTAAACCGAGATATCCGCTGTATCGAGAAGGTTTTTATTAACGTTTATTATGGTGAACTTTATCCGTAAAGCCGAGATTTTTAATTTGTATCCGCTAAATCGAGGTCCGCTAAATCGAGATTCACCATGTATTACAATGTAGGCTGGCTTGTTATTGTTTATTATTATTATTACATACATCCAGATCTAGCCAAATGTGGTTGCTTGCATATATACCCAAATCAAAGCAGTCAGTATATACAATAACAACAATAATAACTCAACAGATTTATATTTATTATCACTTTAAACAAAATCTGCCGATAATTTTTACATTCCAAGAAATATAACTTAAACTACCTATAGATTATTTTATCGTCATCATCATTTATTATTACTATTCATAAATTTTGCTGGCAATTTTACACACTAATTGACACCGTCACCACCACAACTTTTAATAAAAACATAATGGCATCTTCGTATTTGTGGACTGTGGTAGGCCATCTTTTTTGTTGATGAACGTACAACAAAAAAATGTCATCAATTTAATTCTATTCACGATCAGGTTAATCGGATTAATAAAAAATTAATGAAACAGTCTCTGTCGAAATGGTGTTTCAGTTAAATGAGATAGAGTTCGGTTGTTGAGAATTCAAAATGCTTAATATATCGTCTGAATGTTTATTCCATGAGGTCGTGTATATTCATTCGTGGGATTTTTTTTTTTATGTCAGAATTGAAAGTAGGTTTTTTGCTGCAAGTGATCAATCAGATTTTTTGATTTCCTTCCTTTCTTTCTCTCGTGTTACCTATTAGTTATTAGTTCACTAGCAATCATATTCATCAATGATCTGAAGGAGCTTGAAGAATCCATGCTGTTACCAATGCCATATTTGACATATCTGGAAAGGTTGTAAGTTATTAAGATGATTATCACGCTAACACATTCAAAATTTCACGCCAAGTATACAATGCTTTTTGAAAGAAAAAAACGCGGAGACCTTGGTAGCAGATTACATGAGAAAAAGTACCCCGTTTCATGATTCTTTAGGTTCGTGTATTGATAAGAAGCTATTGTTGAACGCGAAAGCAATCGAATGGAGATTCTTAAATCCAAGAAATTCATCATCACCATTGAATAGCACAAAAAAATTAGCAAGAACACAAAAGTCATCTCGCCACTAAAAGATTATTATTTCACGATTCATCATCGTCATCACTATCATTACCATTACCATCATAATGGCCATCATCATCAACTTCTCCACGAGTGCTATCAGTATTATCTTCTTCCTTGTTAACTTCCTCTCCACAAAAAATGTTTGATATTATCTTCCTCATCCTCATCCTCATCCATTATAAACATCAACAACAGAGACAATGGGTAGAAGAAATGGCGAAAGATCCTGACCATAATGATTTTTATCAAGAGGATTTGTTGGATGTCGTCATTACTAAAGGTTTCAACTGAAACATTTACATGAAACTAGATCAAAAGTAATAACTGAAAACATTAATAAAAACAAATACGAAACTACATCAAAGAACAGAAGACGGAATGTAAATAGTTATAACAAATTTATTTATTTACTTTCTTTTCTAAAATTTATATACTCCTCTTAATAAACAATTGTGCATTACGGAATGTTACACTGTTTTTAGTTTTTTTTAAGTTACATTCATTTGTCCTTGGTAAAAAAAAATTATACATATATAAATAATGATAATTTTCTTTTTTTCGTATTAACTTAATGAAGTCTTTTTTTTTAGTTTGCCAATTGTACTAGTGCGTAATAATCCCATTTCTTAAATGAAACATTTAATCTTCAATTTTAAATGCATAATTCACAGCCAAACTTGCCACAACGGGCACGGAGAATTTCAAGCCTGTTATTGTTAATACTAATCACATTATAACGGGTTTTATATGATATGTAAACAAAAATTTGATTCTAACAAAAGATAATGGTAATTATATTTATGTACAATCAAATAAAAGAAACGTAAACTATATATTGTCTACTTCGTCACATTTAACTTGTCGAAAAAAAAGTTTAGACATCAAAACAAATCTGTTGTGACTATATTTGTCATCATTTTATTTACATTATAAAAAAATAAATTATATAGTAATAGAATATGAACATCATTGATATCCTTTACTCTTTTTCCGGGTTTTCAAGTTCTATTTGCATATTTACGAGGCGAGGAGTCAAAATTTTGAGAAATGTTTAAATAGGTAACATGACATGACATGACACAACAAAAAATTTTTTAAAAAAGGTTAAATAAAATTTTATAAAGCATTTGTTATACTCTCATTATAGTAAAATTCAAAGGAAAAAGTATTATTTTTATTTTACTCATTGTATCGGATTTAGCCCGATGTCGATAATTCCTATTTTTTTATTTTTCATTTATTTTTTTTCATTTATATTTATTTCCTTCAGTCGTGAAAATTTTATACAATTCTGTTGCTATTTTCAAATACTCAAGTACCTTTTTAAAGAAAAAAATCAAAATTTAAAGATGGCCCGAATTACTCATTATCGCCGCAATAACTGCAATAACAATGTAATTTATGGAATAGTTAACTATTCACAAAATTGTAATAACAATGGTAACAACAACAACAACCATAATTCCAGACGCATTGGACAATGGTTGAAGCAAAGAATCTACCCGTTAACAGAAGAAAAAACATTAGATTCTTACCATTATTTTTCCTCAACTAATAATAATCGTAACGATATACGTGTAAACCGCAATCAATTTTTGTTATTTTTAGCAAAATACTATCTTCAAACTGTAGAACATGATTTTATCAATATTAATCATAATATGCTCAGTAAAGTTGTCGGTGATTTAGATAGAAGTTCTTCTGATTACGAAAAATACAAGGTCACTATATATAGTGAGCGTTTTAATAATTTCATTGATAAACGAAATTCCGGTTGATAATGAAGATGGCGTTGTTTGAATTTTTCCTTTATTTAATCGTAGAATTGTTTTTTGTTTCTTTTATATGGTTTTAATTTTATATGAATAAGCA